TATATGTAACATTTTTAAACATTTATTAACAGTTGTAAATATCAACACCTTGAAATGTTTTAAAATCATTCTGACTCTCTTCTAATAAGGCAAATGGCTTCTGTTTCTTTTCCATGCTTCCCCCAATCATCTGTATTGGGAGTATGTAGGCTACTGTAAGTTTGGTGAGCAGATACAAAATTCCGCAAAAACTGAGGATTGCTTTAAAGACAGAGTAAGTGATTTTTCACAAATGCTATACATGAGCAATATCACACGTGTAGCTGTGTGATATTGCTCTATATCAGCATGTCTGTGATTCGGCATTTATACAACAGTTCGATGGCACAAGTGTATAAATAGATAAGAAACCATCATGGAGCGTCTTAAAAAAACAAAAACAAAAAAAAACAAAAAAACTTTTGTGTGTGGAACTACTTCCTTGCGCCACCGATTCAAATCTTAAATTGTCAGTTTAACAGATGAGCCCAAACCTCCGTTACTAATTTGCAGGGGTGTGGACTCGAGTCACATGACTCGAGACTTGACTCAGACTCGAGTCCCAAATTTGATGACTTGCGACTCGACTCGACATAATTAAAGAAGACTTGAGACTCGACTTAGACTTTGACAGCAATGACTCGAGACTTGACTTGGACTTGAGCCCTGTTACTCGGAAAGACTTATGATCAGATCAGAGTCGTTATTACTCTAGACGCGTCCCTGCGTGCTTGCGCTTGACTGGCAAAAAGCCAGAGACTGTGTTCAGGGAGCGCTGGATATACAGTATATGCTAGTATAAATTAATGGAGTAATAGCATCATTTACGACAAAAGAACCGAGATAAGAAAAAAAAAAGAAGACACGATTCGTATATAACTATCTCCGCTCGTGAAAAGGGCTGCCCTGCCCGTTTGATCGCCGCCCAGCAGACACACGGAGCAGGCATGAGAAACGAGAGGCGCGGCCGCCATCACTTCACTGGTGCTGGCCTCATCATCACCGTGACCGCTGCTGTTAAACGCTAAACATATTCCTCACTTCTTCAAAACAACGACTTGGTCACACCTCTGCTAATTTGAAAACATCAATTTGGAACTAGTAACAAAGCGTCTTACAAGGTGTTGTTGAAAGATAAAATAGCCTAATGTTCTTGTTTACAAAAAAAAAAACTGTATCCGTTTTCTCACCTTTACCTTCGGTACATCACCAGTGTAAGCTTCATTTTCGCCCACTCTACCCTTAAATAAAACCTGAGAGGTTTCTGTCACTCCATTGAAAGTCCAGCTAACCAAAACATCCAAAAAAGGTCATAAAGGTGAATCCATATGAATCGAGCAGTTTAATATGCATGTTGATTATTGTTTAGGTGTAAACAAAAGTCTAAATTAAATCAGTTCATCATATAAATCATTCATGTTTCTTTAAAGGATCTGGATCTTTTAAGTTACCTGGACATGGGACAATATGAGGGTGAGTAAACGATGACAGAGTTCTTGAGTATTTGAGTGAACTTTAAATGGAAACCGTCTTTTCACAATGTTATGTTATAGTATGTCCCAGTACTGACTTACTGTCTTATTACAGACTTATCACCAGCAATGTACATAGTTTAGAAATATACATGCTGGTAAAATTATGTTTTATTGCAATGCAGAGTAAATAAATAATAAAAAAGAAAGTGTAAAACAATAAATATGATCTTACAAGTAATTTTTAAAATTTAGTCAACATAAATAGTTTGAATATGTAATATGTTGTTGAATTAGTCCCTTACATGATGATCATTAGAAATCTATCAATATAAAATGGGACTTGTCTGTAATCTTGCTGGCTAAGGCATAAGTCATAAGATTGTACTATTTCAATACTCCTTGGGACTAAATTGGCCCACTTTCTAGTATATAAAAGTATACTTTTAAGTATAACAGTAGTAAACTTTGAGTACACAACTAGTTTACATCAAAATGTTTAGTTTGTACTGCAACTATACTAAAAGTGAACTTATAGGTATACTGATAGTTTACTAATTAAATACGTAGCATTTTTAGTACACTTTGAAGTATAGTATCAGGAAATTACTAGTTTAGTAGTTTTATACTGCAACTATACTCGTAAGTTTTCTTTAATTATTTAGCAAGGATGCATTAAATTAATCAAAAGTGAAAGAAAAGACATTTATAACATTACAAAATTTCTGATTCAAATAAATTCTGTTCTTTTGAACTTTCTATTCATAAAAGATTCCTGACTAAAATGTTTCATGGTTTCCACAAAAATATTAAGCAGCACAGCACTGATAATAAGAAATGTCTCTTGAGCAGCAAATCAGCATATTAGAATGATTTCTGAAGGATCATGTGACACTGAAGACTGGAGTAATGATGCTGAAAATTCAGCTTTGCTATTACAGGAATAAATTATACTTAAAATAAAAGGTAGAAAACAGTTTAAATTGTAATATATAATATTTTTTCACATTATCACTATTTTACTGTATTTTTGATCAAATAAATGCAGCCTTGGTGAGCATAAGAGACTTAAAAAAACATTTAAAACTCTTACTGACCTCAAACTTTTGAATAGTTGTGTAAAATTTCAAGTCAAACCAATGTTTCATTTAAACAGTATGTACTTGGTGAGTAGCTGTGTAATTAAGCCGGATAACCACTCAAGGTCAGTCCAAAGAGCCATAAAGTTACCTGTCTGACATTGTTCTATTGGTGTATATCCAGTTTAGAGGACAGCGAGCAAAGTGGGATTATAACAAACGACAGAAGATGAACTCTTACTGACCTCAAACTTTTGAATAGTTGTGTAAAATTTCAAGTCAAACCAATGTTTTATTTAAACAGTATATGTACTTGGTGAGTAGCTGTGTAATTAAGCCGGATAACCACTCAAGGTCAGTCCAAAGAGCCATAAAGTTACCTGTCTGACATTGTTCTATTGGTGTATATCCAGTTTAGAGGACAGCGAGCAAAGTGGGATTATAACAAACGACAGAAGATGATTCCCAGTGATGAATTGGATGTCAGTTGGCGCATCCTGGCCCGTTTAACTTTCACAGAGTTGATCCATCTCCTCTCGAGTTTTGGAGGCTGCTCAAAATACAGCGCCAGAGAACTAGAGCAGAGTGAAAAATGTTCAGGAACTGTACTATTAGACACCAGAAACCCTCCAGCGGCTAAACCAAAATAAGAAGCCTCATTGTGACCGAGACTACACCCTATTTTAATTCTCTATGGAGTTAATTAGGCCAGCGTGGTTACAACACTACTATACATAATGGTTCCACAGTACTCTTCTCAGGTGGTTTTGTGAAAACAGGGGTGTGTGGGAAAATGATAGCAGATAAATCCTCACACATGACAAATTCTTGTTGTTTTATACTTGAGGGAAAGTCAGACTGTGGTGTAATAGCACGGTGTAATAATTTTCTATGCATATAGACATTTTATATTTATTTCACATAGACTGAGGTAACCGCATTAAAAAATATTTTGTGCAAAATTATACTGTGTCTGTATAAGATGTTTTTATTATTATTATTATTATTTTGTCTAGATTGTGGTAATTAAATAACGAGTCTATAGCCTAGTGGTTAATACATAATATAGGCTACAGTAGCCTATATATATTAAAAATGTATTCCATAATATGAACAGAAATCATTTTATATGTCTATGCACATTTTTATATAATGAACAGGTTAATGGTTAATGCACGTTTTGACAGTGAACTGTGGTGTCATATAGTATGTGTGACAAGTTTGAGCCCGGTTCATTTTGTCTGGTCCATATTATATCTTGTCTTTTCTCTACTATGCCTGTCAATAAAACATTAAGGGTTGCTATTTGAACCCCCAATAGAGTCAGTTCATGAACTGGAGAGGGACTGGGATCTCCCATCACCATCATGCCCTTGAGCAGCCTCAGGTTGCCCCAGGGTGACTGTCCATATAGTAAAAGTACTGCAAATCTGGTGACTAGAATATTTTAAAAGTATGAAAATAAGCCCTTCCTGCTGCATGCAATTAAAACCTAATAATGTGACTGCTGTCATTATATTCAGTAAAAACAATTGGGTGAGGGCTAATACCAACCCAGCAGTTTCTCTATGAATGTATTAACTAAGAATAGGTTAGATAAATTAGGAGGAAATCTGTACTGTGCCTGCTATCCGGGCAGAAAGGGATCGACTGCCTAGAATTTGATTGCCTATTGCATTGCTGTTCTCACAGAGTAGCTGTAAATTCTCTGGTGCTTTAATGGATTTTGGTGTTTGCTGATTAGCCCACCATCCTCGTGTGTTTTACCTCCTCATAGCAGCATATCACCACAGTACAGACAATCTCCAGAATCTTCTTCCGTTAAAACATCGTGAATCGTATTCTCTCTGCATTGGTCCGAGGACGTGGCCAGCATTTGGCATAATATGAACTGTAGTTATAGATGTAAATATATTAAGTTATCATTTGTATTTAATCACATTTATTTGTATACCGAAATGTAGCACATGTACACTGGTGGTTTTAGATAAATTGACTCGCTCTCTCTGCTGTGCCTCTAGCTACCCCAAATAAAAAATTCTATCAAAAGCAATGTTTGTCAAGACCACTGGACAGTAAAAAAAAACGTTGTGCAGCAGCGCCATCTGCTGTCTTGACCATGTTACTTTTTCCTAACACCATGTAGAAGGCTTTAAAAAACTGTGCACAAAATGTCCCCACTATCTTAATCCTAATCACTGAAATAAGTCTTGAGAAATCTTGTCTATTGGAAAACCGTAGGCTCTATAAGTGGGGGGAAAAATAACTGCGGCCTGCAACTTTAAGTCAGCTGTCAGCCAATTTTGTATAATACTATAACAGTATTTGGGAGCCTACATCTATGTTTGGAAGTATTAATAAATCCCACATGAAAAAATACTATAGTAATTTATAGTAAATACTGTGTTTTTGAACCATACTATAGTAAAGTGTATTATACTGTATATAT